ACATTTTCAACTGATTGTGCATTTTTGCTTGAATTTGGATGATGATAATATAATTTGTCATGAAAAATTAAATTAAATTAAAAGGCATCTCTCAGGTTTTTGGACCTAGCAGTACATGAGGTGTAGAATGAGCCAAACACAAGATTGTAGGGTGTAAAAAAGGTCCATGGAGAAGAAAAGTGATTTCTCGTTCATCTCTCTCTCTCTCTGTCTCTTGCTCTCTCTGTCTCTCTCTCTCTCTCTGTCTGTCTTTCACCACATCTGTCCTTTCCAATCGCCCATCTGATCAGTCTCTGTTACGCCCTTACTAGGGAGCAACAATGAAGGAGGAAGAAACGTTTACGGCGGTTACAATACTCTCTTTATTTTACACTTTCTTCATGACAAAGACTGTCTCTCAAGCTCTCGCAATACGCCGCAACGCCGATCAACATCTCGGTCCTGGCCAGGGATCGATGTGACAGAATGGAACGCTCCATGAGGACGCCAAACAGGAAGCTTTTATTGACAGGCACACCTGTGCACCGGTGCACCCAATCCACCTGATTACTCCCTCAGCTCCGCAGCGCACCTGTAGGAGGAGCAACACACACCCAGACACGGCAAAACCACAATACAAAGTATACAGCCGTAACACTCCCCCCCTTAAAAAAAAGGAAACTAATATGTTTCCGCCAACAATAAGCATTCATAACCGCACTAACAAATATAATTTAAGTATAGGCCTATACATACACAATAACAACAACATTCCTTACCCCCCGTGAATAAAGTAATAAATAGAAAAACAAACCTGTTAACTCTTCATCCAAGGCACCACCTAAGAAATGTTCTACAAGTGTGCCCTAGACAATGCATCGGCCACTATATTTTCTGAGCCCTTCAAATGCCTAACATCTAAATGAAAGGGCTGAAGAAAGAGGCACCAACGCATCAGCCGTTGATTTGGATTTTTAAGAGAATGTAAAAATGTAAGCGGATTATGATCACTATAAACTATTACCGCTGAACTGTTCCCACCTACATACACTTCAAAATGGTTGAGTGCTAAAATTAACGCAAGGGCCTCCTTTTCAATTGTGGAGTAGTTCCTTTGATGACTATTGAACTTCCGCGAGAAAAAACAAACCGGCCGCTCAATACCCGCATCATCCTCTTGAATCAACACCGCCCCTGCTCCCTCTTTACTGGCATCTACCTGAATTTTAAAAGTTTTCTCCAGCTGAGGTGCCATTAGGACAGGTGTCGTAGTTAACAACGATTTTACTGCCTCAAAGGCATTCTGACAAGACTCAGACCAAACAAACAAAGCTTTGCCTTTCAATAGGTCCGTTAAAGGAGCAACAACCGTAGAAAAATTCCTACAAAAACAGCGGTAGAACCCCACCAGACCTAGAAAGCTCATTAACTCCTTTTTAGTGTTCGGAACAGGATATTCATCTATTGCTCTCACCTTCTCCCTCACTGGACGCACCTGTCCTTGCCCCACTACCTTACCAAGATACGTAACTGTCGCTCCTGCAAATTCGCACTTAGCAAGATTCAGTGTAAGATGTGCTTGAGAAAGACGGACTAAAAGTAACCGTAAACGCTTAAGATGTTCTGACCATGTATCACTTACCACGATCGTATCATCCAAATAAACAGTCACGCCTTTCAGTCCCGCAATTACTCTATTCATCATTCTTTGAAACGTCGCCGGTGCGTTTCGAAGACCGAAGCTCATAACCCGGTAAGAAAATAATCCGTTAGGTGTTATAAACGAGGAAACTTCGCGCGCACGCTCTGTCAGCGGAATCTGCCAATAGCCTTTAAGTAAATCTAATTTTGTCACAAATTTCGCGGCACCGACCTGATCGACACAGTCCTCCATTCTCGGCAGAGGAAAAGAGTCTGGTCTTGTAACAGAATTCAGTTTCCTGTAATCTGTGCAAAAACGGAACGTACCATCAGATTTTTTTACCAGCAAACATGGCGAAGACCAGCTGGAAAATGAAGGCTCGGCTAATCCGTTATCCAGCAAATACTGGACTTCCTTTTCTAAAACCTCTCGTTTATTCAGTGGAACCCTGTAAAAACGCTGACGGACAGGAGCAGCCTCGCCCACCTCTATATCATGCTCCAACTGTGTCGTTTGGGTTGGAACATCCGAAAACAGCTCCGGGAACTCAGCAAGCAAACTAATCAATTCTCGACTTTGCGTCTTGTCTAAATGTTTAAGATTAGAAGACATATTTTTCAACGTTTCAGAATTCTTTAAACGACCCAGTAACATGCTGTCATCAGGAGACTCTAATTCGTCCACAGACATACCCATCATGTCCTGTGGAGCACCTGACTGAGGGGAGCTGTCCACTAGCACCACAGGCGCCACTGGCACTGAGACTGGTCGGTTTCGCTGATAATAAGGCTTAAGGAGATTTACGTGACAGACTTGGGATCTTTTCCTTCGGTCTGGCGTAAGAATCGTGTAATTATCCACGGTTGTACTATCTGCCACTGTACACCACCGATCAAACTGCACGGTCAACTCTCTTACGAACTCAACATTTGTTTCAATCACCTTTCGTTGTAAAGTACGGAACTTTTGCCGATAACTCTCTGGCACACGCTCATTAATTTTTAACACCGCCGCCTTAATGGCTTCATAATTCTGGCTGTCAACATCAGATAGCGTAGAATAGGCTTGTTGGGCTTTACCTGTTAAAACGCATTGAAGTAACATAGTGCGTTCAACATCACTCCACTTATACGCTACTGCGACTCGCTCAAATAGGAGAAAAAAAATCTCCACCTCAGCCTCATTAAACGGCGGTACTAATCGTAAATTATGAGCCACACTCAGTTTCGTCGAATCCGTATCAAAACCTCCCATTGGCTTACCTTCTTCGTGTAATTCTAGTCGACGCCTTTCAATCTGTAAACGCTGTTGCTCTACCTGTTGCCGGCTCTCCTCCAATTCCAACTCCAAACGTACCTTGTCACATTCCAAGCGACGCTTCTCACACTCAGTATCACGTTGTATCATCAACAACTCTTTCTGTTGCTCAAATGAAAGTGTGCTTAAAGCAGACAATGGAAGAGTAGTTGGAACAGGAGTACTTACGGCAGGCAACGCAGCTGACCCCGGTAATTTAGATTTTTTTCTCAAGATTTCAAGATCACACAACGCAGTCTCAATGATTAACTTAATTCCGTCCTTTGATCTTTTTTGATTATACGTTAGCTCGATTTTATAATGCGCAGCTAGCTCCAACAATTGCTCTTTGGTCATTTCCTCTAACAATTCCTCAGACGGAGTCTGAGAAAATGTTTCAATCAAATCGGTAGCCATAATTACCAATAATCACGCTCAATAAATATCAAATTTATTACTTTGACAAATCAGGGTTTATTTAAAGAAACTAAACCATCCAATTAAACTAGCTCAACCCTAGTCTTCAGTTGGCCCAAGACCGGGTATTTACACACTAAATCCCGCAAGTTTGGGAAGACGACCAATTGCAGAGTCGCCCCCCAAACCTCGGATGTGCCCCCGAGACAACTGCTCTAAGCCCCGAGCCAACCAAAAATAACAAACTAAAAAAAAAAACTACGTGCCCAAAGACACGCACTAAACCTACCCGGACGGTTTGTTCTTCAAATACCCCCAACAAATTATGTTCTAGAGCCTAACTAATTAATGGAGCGTTCCAATTTTTTCAATTCACAAATAGTCGGATAATATACAAATATTCAAACATCAATTCAAAATTATCCTACCTTTTACCCTCCTTCACAAACAACGTTCTTTTTTTTTTTTTCAAAATCATTCGCACGAATCCAAACACAAATTTAGTTCGACGAGCCCCCAATTGTTACGCCCTTACTAGGGAGCAACAATGAAGGAGGAAGAAACGTTTACGGCGGTTACCATACTCTCTTTATTTTACACTTTCTTCATGACAAAGACTGTCTCTCAAGCTCTCGCAATACGCCGCAACGCCGATCAACATCTCGGTCCTGGCCAGGGATCGATGTGACAGAATGGAACGCTCCATGAGGACGCCAAACAGGAAGCTTTTATTGACAGGCACACCTGTGCACCGGTGCACCCAATCCACCTGATTACTCCCTCAGCTCCGCAGCGCACCTGTAGGAGGAGCAACACACACCCAGACACGGCAAAACCACAATACAAAGTATACAGCCGTAACAGTCTCTCCCCTACAGAATCACTCACTGGTTAATTTCTCCTTTCTGCTCCATCATCCCCGTTTCTCTCTCTCTCTCTCTTTCTCTCTCTCTCTGCCTCTGCAGAAATCAATGGTCTCTCTCAATTAGAGGTCACAGAGCCGCTGCTGCAGTTACACTTTTCAATTACCAGGAGGATCCAGCGGCCCCAGAGCGCACACACACACACACGCACGCACACACACACACACACACACACACACACACACACACAATTATATTTTGCATAAAGAAAATTAAACTCATTTTTAGGGCCAGTAACAATTTTTGACATTATTTTGCAAATGACAATTTATTTAATGTAATGAAAAGTTTAATAAATATATACTACTATATACTCATTTATATGTTTAAAAATGTTAATTCTAATAATTAATTTTTATATGTGAGTTAAATATAAATACTCACACACACAATAGTGAAGTATTTACTGTCTTTCATTTTAATTGATAAACACCATTAACAATAAAATAAAACAAAAAACAAAGAAAATTACAGTAATGCATGTAATTTTCATGTAAATAATGCAAAAAAAAATCCTACTGTTCCAACAAGAGTAATTTTATTTATGCACAATATATATTTTTTTATATATATATTAATATTTCTTTTCATTTTGAAAACGGACTAAAGCAGGTTTACTTGATTATCCAGACATAATTTAATAAAAAAGTATCAAATATGTTCATCTCTCAAACATCCTTGTATTACATTGCATTATATATTTTAAAACTACAGAGATTTGATCATAAAACAAAGCATTTCAATATCATCTTATACTGTATATAAATAGCTATAAAAGTCTGATGTATTAAATATGATATTCAACAAAGAACACACGCACATTTTTTTGTTTTTTTTAGATTCTTTATATTATGTTTGAATGTTTCATTGATTTTTCTGATTATTATGTCATGACATATGACTTAAGCATTATATTCAACTACATTCAGTCACATGATGCTTTAATGGTGTTTTCAGCTCAATATCTCGCAATCATACAGGTTTAAACCACATGAATGAATGCACTCCTGAATGGTCCTAATGAGAGGTCAGGGTTTCTGGCTGGCGAAGAAGGCCTTGGTCTGCCCACAGGTGGGGTTCACACACAGCGGACAGCGGAGGGTCAGCTGACGGGAACACGACTCGTTGGACTTAAGATGAGACTGAACCAGATCAGCCAACGCCTGAGAGAACCAGAGAGACCACCAGTGCTTACATGCTTGTATTGTGACAAAACCTAGTGAGACCACTACATAGGGGGCACTGCATAGGGGGCACTGCATAGGGGGCACTGCATAGGGGGCACTGCATAGGGGGCACTGCATAGGGGGCACTGCATAGGGGGAACTGAATAGGGGGCACTGCATAGGGGGCACTGCATAGGGGGCACTGCATAGGGAGCACTGCATAGGGAGCACTGCATAGACTGCACTACATAGGGAGCACTGCATAGGGAGCACTGCATAGGGAGCACTGCATAGGGAGCACTGCATAGACTGCACTACATAGGGAGCACTACATAGACTGCACTACATAGGGAGCACTACATAGACAATGAATAAAATAAAAAAATAAAAATTTCAAAAGCTTGGGGTCGGCAAGATTTTTAGGTGTCTTAATAAAAAAATTAATCTTAATAAATTGAAATATTATTAAAATGTAAAACATCTGTTTTCTATGTGAATACTGTATATAGTAAAGTGTAATTTATTCCTGTGATCAAAGCTGAATTTTCAGCATCAGTCTTCAGTGTCACATGATCCTTCACAAAACACTCTAATATGATGATCTGATGCTCAAGAAACATTTATGATTATTAGCAATGTTGAAAACACTTCATATTTTTGTGTAAACTGTGATACATTTTATTTTACAGGATTCTTTGATGAACAGAAAATTGTAAAGAACAGCATTTATTTGAAACAGAACATTTTGGAACATCATAAATGTCTTTACTGTCACTTTTGATCCGCTTTATGCATCCTTGATGAATAAAAGTATTGATTTCTTAAAAAACAATCTTACTGACCCACACACACACACACACTTGCTTGTGTGTGTGTGTATGTATATATATATATATATATATATATATTCAATTTAACCATCAAAACCGTGTATGTGGGTAGATATTGATATTATATGAAATGATGATGTTATTGCTGCTGTCGAGACTCACCCTGAAGAACAGAGGATTTCCATTGAGAGATTCTGCTCGTCTGATGTTCTCCACTCCACACTGAAAACACACACACACACACACACACACGTCAACATTTAAGCCAATAATATTGCATACAATATTCAATAATACTGCATACAATATTATTGGATCATAACTGTCCATATACATAAACAGACTTTTGAATGAAAATGTAATAATGACTTTTTTCTGATGACATATTCAAGGTCGTGTGGATGGACAAAATTATCTTATGCTTTTGTGTTACTTTTTGATTCATTGCTATTCTATAATAGGTTGTTAATGCTTTGAATACATTTTTTTTAATAGTTTTTTTGTTTTCAATTTAATTTTAAAGTTTAAGTAATTTTATTATTATTTATTTCTTTATTTTTTAAATATTTATATATATTTGTAATATTTAGTTTAAAGTAATTCACCAAATTTTGCCTTGGCAACTAGCTGAAATATAACAAGTTTAAGTTTATTTGATTTGGTTTCAGTAATTAATGAGTAATGAAAATGATTTCTTATAGTTTGTGTTAACGATAATAAGCCGGGTGACGTTATTGCTCAAATATGCACACAAATCCCCAGTTTACGCGCCATATTAACCAATAACATCACAATCTACAGTTACATATTATTTTAAGGTGTCCTTGTTACAGTGTTCTATACACAACCTTTCAAGAATTTGATGTTTTTAAAAGAGTCACTTCTGCTCACCAAAGCTGCATTTATTTGATCAAAAATACAAAAAACTGTAATATTGTTAATTATTATGACAATTTAAAATAACTTTTCTATTTGAATCTATTTTAAGATGTAATTTATTCCTGTGATCAAAGCTGAATGTTCAGCATCATTACTCCAGTCTTCAGTGTCACATGATCCTTCAGAAATCACTCTAATATGATGATCTGATGCTCATTAACATTTATGATTATTATCAGTATTAAAAACAGTTCATATTTCTGTGGAAACTGTGATACATTTTATTTTACAGGATTCTTTGATGAATAGAAAGTTCAAAAGAACAGCATTTATCTGAAATAGAATCTTTGTAACATTATAAATGTCTTCACAGTCACTTTTGATTTAATTTTAATGCATCCTTGATGAATAAAAGTTAATTGAAATAAAACTTACTAACATGTACTATAGGGTTCGGGTTTGCTTTAGTGTTAGTTGCATGTAGTTATGCATAATTTACTGTTATTACTACAGTAAGTACATGTGATATATGTAACAAGCACAGATCCAGAAGATCAGACCGGATATATATATAATATAATTCTAAATGTATATAATATAACAAAACTTATATACATAATATTTTATCCACATTATTATATAAAATGTATTATTAATATAATAATGATAAGAATATTATTAATATCAAGTATAAATTACTATTAATAATAATATAAATAGTATTAATCTAAATGTATATAATATAACAATAATTATATACATAGTATTTATATAATAATATGTAATATATTATTATGGAAGTATAAAATCATATTACTTTAAATGTTTATAACTATTACTATTAATAACAATATAAATGGTATTACTATAATTCATTTAACAATGATGATTAACATAATATAAATATTATTTTTAATAATAATATTATAATGCAAGTATAAATAACATTACACACACACACAGGCATATGTGGTTTATGAGGTCAATGTGAATTTTTAGTGGTTTAAGGGGACGCACCTTTCCCAACATCCCAACACCTTTCACACACACACACACACACACACACACACACACACACACACACACACACACACACACACACACACACACACACACACACACACACACACACACACACACACACACACACACACACACACACACACACACACACACACACACACCTCTTCTCCGAGGATCTGTGAGTACTCGATGTCGAGCTCGTGCAGTGTTTCGATGTGGTCGCTGGTGAAAGCAATGGGAACCAGCAGGAGATTCTTCTTCCCGCGCTCACACAGGCCTTTGATGACATCATCAGTCTGCGGCCCCAGCCACGGCATCGGCCCCACCTACAGGAGCCCAGCAGGGACACAATTCACCATCACACACACAGCCCTACAGGAGCCCAGCAGGGACACAATTCACCATCACACACACAGCCCTACAGGAGCCCAGCAGGGACACAATTCACCATCACACACACAGCCCTACAGGAGTCCAGCAGGGACACAATTCACCATCACACACACAGCCCTACAGGAGCCCAGCAGGGACACAATTCACCATCACACACACAGCCCTACAGGAGTCCAGCAGGGACACAATTCACCATCACACGCACACAAAAAATCGTGCTTTTGTAAATCATAATTATGACATAAAAGTACAATTATGACATACCCAAGTCGAAATTATAACATACTAAGAAGAAATATGATTTAAAAAGACAGACTTAAGTCAATTTCGACTTTATCTCAATAATTTATGTCATAATTATAATATAAAAGGTCAAAATAGTAGTATGTCATAAATCAGATTTACCAAAGCTAGATGTGGCAGAACTGGGCTTCAATACTCTAGTGCAGTTCCAGCAAATGAGCACTAGATGCCTCTCTTTATCAGCCGGTCTACAACTACAGTTCAAAATCATTACAAGAAAAAACACCAGGGGTGTAAAAAGTCCTCAAATATTATACTTAACAGTACAGCCACTGAGGGAAAACTTTACTCAATTAAAAGTATCTTATTATAAAAGAAACTTATTTTCACGTAACTGCCAAAAACATACTCGAGTGAAAACTACTAAAATTCTTTTATCATTCTAAATCATCTTCATGCAAAGTTAATTAAATTGCATAAATGATTTTGTCAGACAGACATACAGAGGTTTGGGTTAAAGGGGGAAAACTAAAAATGATAAAGATAATAATAACGAGACTTTTTCAAGGCGAAAAATAAAATTGTAGGGAGTACAGAAACACAATCAAGTAAAAATACAAGTAGTCAATTTAACTTGCACTAGAGTAAAGTACAGATCGCACAAAATAATACTAAAAAATACTCTTTACAATCAATCATTACGTGAGTTAAATAACATCTGGATGTGTGTCTCATTATTAGGTCATTTTACATTTTTAATTTTCTTTTAGTCTCTGAAATGAGATGCAGAAAAGCCAATTTAATCAGTTATGTTTCCAGCCACCTATTGATATGCAGATTTTGGGATATCGCATAAAAAAAAATTAAACGCCAAGATGTGCATAAATCCTAAAATTGCTCATAAAAACATATGCGCTAAATTGAAGTGGATACAATTTTTATCGGCTAAAAAAAGATGCACATAAACTACAATGGAAACACATTTGATGAATAAATCCCTCGATGCGCAAGTAAATGTGAGGCTGTGATTGGATAACTGGAGTAACCAGCGGACCAATCACATCGCAGCATCTCAAATGTTGGTTTGGTGTTTCTGAAAGTCAAAGTGTGTGATCAGAATGATTTGGTGTAATTCCCTCCAGAAGCGTCTCACACACACGAGTGTGTTCACAAACACCAGCATCCGAACGCCAGAGAACATGACAGCGTTTACTGTGTTTCGTCTGACGCTCTGAGACACTCGTTTATGATGGAGGGAAAACAGCCCGAGTGCAGAAACGCACAGTTTATTACTGATATTTTGTGCCAATTTCCCAGGAAGGGACAATTTTGTTCTCTTGAACACATGGGGTGGGAACGAGGCTTTATTCACAAATGTTAAATTCGCAGTTTTGGATGGAAACACAGCTATTGACACGTGACTTTAAGAAGCAATCCTGACCCTTGACTGCCAGACGAGTCTGTACGGGTTACAGTGGCCTAATCGCTCCATCACCCTCTGAACTGTAGCGCCAACCTCCTGTGGGTACGGGTCCCCCCTGTTCACCACCTAAACACACACACACACACACACTTCATTACTTTTCATTGTAAACATCTAACCAGCACGTCAGCCATTGTGTGTGACTCACTGAGAGCGGCAGAGAGTGAGCCGAGAACAGAATCACCACATCGTCTCTCTTCTCTGGAGGAAACTTCTCCAGCTCGTTACGAATGTGATCAGCAAAACACTGGAAGAAAACAGAAATCATCTTTAATTGCAGCAAGAGATGTGACGTAATAATGATGATGACAGGGAAAGAGCAGCAAACAACTATAGGATGACAGCAAGAGTGTATTCAGATGAATTATTAAATATAAATATGTTATTTTATTAATCATTTATAAGGACATTTGTGCATCCCAAAGCATCTTCAAAAGTTCAAATTTTTTACATTTTGTCAATTCAAATTTTTAATATTAATATTATTATATATAAAAAATATTAATACAATAATACATATTTATATTGAATAAGGCAAATGTGCATCCCAAAGTGTCTTCAAAAGTTCTGAATTTTTACATTTAGTCAATATAATATTTATTTATATATACCATATATAATTAAAAAAATATTATTAATAAAATAATACATATTTATATTGAATAAGGCAAATGTGCATCCCAAAGTGTCTTCAAAAGTTCTGAATTTTTACATTTAGTCAATATAATATTTATTTATATATACCATATATAATTAAAAAATATATTATTAATACAATAATACATATTTATATTGAATAAGGCAAATGTGCATCCAAAGTGTCTTCAAAAGTAAAAAAAACAACTAAAAACATTTTGTCAATTCAAATGCATTGGACAAATCAACTGGATAAACTCATTAAATTAATTTTAGTTTATTAAACTCAAACAGATTGTTTAACAGTGTGATCGTGTGTTACCTCAATCAGCAGAGGGTGTGTCGGCCACCTGTCAATCACACTCCAGCGCATCTTTGGCCTGTCCGCGCGGTTATTGTAGTATCTGTATATAGCGTTCAGACTGCTGCCTGATCACACACAATCACAGATTACACTTCAGAAAGATGATTTTACAAACATATGTAGCAATTACAAGCCCTAAAGAGCAGACTTACTAACGGCTTGAGCCAGAGCAAACGCTCTTCAGGCGTTAAAAACTACTAGGATTTACTGAAGAAACGCAGTGAAAAATTAGTAATGGACAGTTATTTTTGCGGCCTAACTTATTGCACATGCATTTGTAGGAAATTTATTTTTCAGATGCAAAATTTATGGGAGGAGAGTATTTAAAGGGATACTCCACCGTTTTTTCATATTAAACTATGTTATTCTCTTATCTAAGACGAGTTGATACATACCTCTCTCGTCTCAGTGCGTGCACTGAATCGCTCTGTCGGGCGGAGAACTTTGAGAGCAGTTAGCTTAGACCCATTCATTGTATATGGGCCAAACAGAGATGAAGTTAGAAGCGACCAAACACATCCACGTTTTCTCTATTTAAATATAGTTACACGAGTAGTTACACGACCAAGTATGGTGACACTAAATAAAATGTGGCGCTTTTTATAAGCGGGTAAAATGGATAACTATAATGTATGGCGGAATAGCACTTATTGGGAGCACTTCGAATCGGCGCTGTAATATCTTCACTCGTGAAAAGTCTCTCCCCCTCTCCCTCTCCCTCTCCCTGTCATTTCCGTCAATAGAACCAACGTGACCTGCACGCCTGCAGTAGCAGTAGTTTTTTGTGCAGAGTTGACGAAGTATCAGGGAGAGGGAGAGGGGGGAGAGGACTTTTCACGAGTGAAGATATTACAGCGCCGATTCGAAGTGCTCCCAATAAGTGCTATAACTTCATCTCTGTTTGGCCCATATACAATGAATGGGTCTAAGCTAACTGCTCTCAAAGTTCTCCGCCCGACAGAGCGATTCAGTGCACGCACTGAGACGAGAGAGGTATGCATCAACTCGTCTTAGATAAGAGAATAACATAGTTTAATATGAAAAAACGGTGGAGTATCCCTTTAAAGAGGCCATTATGCCCTTTTACAAAGTCTTGATTGTGTTTTAGTCTCTACTAGAACCGGTTTTCCCGCTTGAATGTTGATTATTTTCCTCATATTCTCCATTGTTGCGGCTCCTCTCTTCCCAGTCTGTCAGTAAAGCTCTGTTTACTTCCTGTCTCTATGAAGCCCCTCCTTCTGAAAAGCACACTGTGCTCTGATTGGTCGGCTGGATCAGTGTGCTGTGATTGGTCGAGCGCTTCGAGTGTGTTTGGGAAATGTCCCGCCCCTTACCATAACCACCAGTTTAACACACTACTAACTAACTCAAACAGGCCCCGCCCCTTTATTCTGCGTATGAATTATTATAATGAGGAATATTGTGACGTGTTCGTTCCCAGAAGAAACTCAAGACTACAATGGAGGCGTTTCAGGAGTTCAACACTGAAACACTGATAATGATATACAGAAGAACTCCCGCTGGAGGGACTTTGTGTCTTTTTTATTATTACCATGTCCACACAGACGATTGGCTCTCTCTTTCCTCCCTCATCATGAGTGGACACGCCCCCTATTGCTGATTGGCTCTCTCTTTCTCTCATCATGAGTGGACACGCCCCCTACTGCTGATTGGCTCTCTCTTTCCTCCCTCATCATGAGTGGACACGCCCCCTACTGCTGATTGGCTCCCTCTTTCCTCCCTCATCATGAGTGGACACGCCCCCTAATGCTAAATAGCTCACTCTCTCTCCTCCCCCATCATGAGTGGACACGCCCCCTACTGCTGATTGGCTCTCTCTTTCCTCCCTCATCATGAATGGACACGCCCCCTACTGCTGATTGGCTCTCTCTTTCCTCCCTCATCATGAATGGACACGCCCCCTACTGCTGATTGGCTACAAGTGTTCTGTACTCCTCGGTCCGATCCACTTTCAACAGAGTTTCTCAGAAATCGCTTACTGCACCTTTAATTTGCGCATTGTCAGTGGATCAGCCGCAGAACTTTCCCCTCCCATCGATGCTTTTATGGGATTGCTAATTTGCCGTGTTTGATAAATCTATCCCTAACTCTGTTAAAGGCTCTTGAAGGGTAAAACAGTGGTGTATGCGAGCGCACCTGTGGTAGAACAGCTGTATTGTGGGTATTGTGTAAAGGCCACGGCTCTCTCCACTCCATCCTTCTCCATCTGCTCGATGGCTTGCTCAGTCAGAGGATTCACGTACCGGAAACCGATGTAAAACTTGTGTGGAGCTACACAAACACACAGAGACAAATGATTAACATTGATTATCACTGGCACATTTCATCACACACATTAATTATCAATGGCACATTTCATCTTATACTACATCTTTAGTTCGTCAGGGTCATTTAAGGTACACTTTTTATTTTTTTACTTTGTTGATTTTTGTTCAACAAAGATCAATCTACTTTTTTGACTACTAGTTGCTTAGTTTCCTCTGCAGTTTTTATTCTATTATAATTTACCTTTATTTTGCACCAGTTTTATTAATATTTTGAAATAATATTTTTATTTTTCATACTAATTTTAGTTACATTTTTAGTAATTTCACTGTGCTTTGTCATTTTATTATTATCTTTTTATTAAATATTGCTATTTATATTCATTTATTTAAGTTTTAGATAGATTTAGTTATTTATTTCCAGTTAATTTTATTCCAGTTTAAGCAATATTTCAAATTTTCGTTTAGTTTAAGTTTTTCAACTAATATTTATATATTATTTAATTTCAGCTTTATTTCAATTACCAGAAATGTTTTAATAGTTTTAGTTAACGATAATAATCATGTTTTGCAGTGCACAATACATTTTTTTATCTCTTTTGTTGATATTAGCTGATTTTTTCAATATTTTACTATAAATTGAGAGTTAATTTATCAGTTAATATTATTTGTTCATTCATTTGTTTATTTAATAACTCAACACATGATTTGGAAATTCAAGCATTTTGTTGTAAATATTTCATATTTCATGCTCAGAACCAAATCATAACAGTTACTGGCACATTAAGTTTTATTATTATTTGGAAGATTAATTAGCTGATTAGCAGATTAATTAATCAGCTGCTTTTGCTTATTTTTAATTATTATTTTATTTAGTTATTTCTTATTTGTATTGTTGATATGACCAGACTGATTTATTGTCCTTATTTATACAGGTATTTTACTGTACATTGAGAGTAATTTATTAGTTTGCTTGAACACATGATGTTTTGGGATGACATTACAGAATATTGTTGGAAATATTTCATAAGCAGGTTACTGTGGATCATAACTACATCATAAGAAAAACTGCTAACCTTATGAAAAGAGGAATATGGCGCTTTTCAAGTAGGAAGTCCCACTGAAGTCATTCATGAGTTTATCAGAGGTGTGTGTGTGTGTGTGTGAGACACTCCTCTGAGGTTCATCTATCATTCACTCACACACTCTTATCAGCACTAAACACTGACTGCATATCTTTTCCACAAAGACGACAGTTTGTCAGTTTGTCTCTGATAATTTTATGATCCGTTACAAAAGGCACTCGACACCGTCAGACTGTCTCAATGCAAAGTTTGGCAGCATCAGAATTTGAATGTTGCTTTGATATTTTCAATATTTCATATGCCACAGACACAAATAGAAGCTATATGTTTTCATTTATAAAGACCATTCATTCTGTCAAAAAATAATATTGTGTATAATACAAATATTTCTATTAGACTTTAAAAATAAAGGTTGTTTATTGGTGTTGATGAAGAACACCCTTAGAATCCTTCAACTGCACAAAAGGTTCTTTTTATCAGATTATTCAAATGTTCTTAGAACTAAGAGAAATGGTTCTTGGCATCGCTGTGAAAATTCCATTTCGGAATCTTTATGTTTAAGAGTGCATTACATTTTTTATACCGACTATATGACTGTACTGTTAGATTTATTATTTTATTTATGTAAATGTAACTTTTTTAACTTAATTTTTTTTATGTAAAATCGAATACCTGTTATTCATTTCAATAAATGTAGTTAATTATTTATTTGAATACTTGCTTTTTTGCACAATTCATTTTTTTTATCTCTTTTGTTGATATTAGCTGATTTTTTATTTTTTTATTATTATTATTTCAATATTTTAGTTAATTTTATCAGTTAATAATTTATCAGTTAATAGTATTTGTTCATTCATTTGTTTATTTAATAACTCAACACATGATTTGGAAATTCAAGCATTTTGTGGTAAATATTTCATATTTCATGCTCAGAACCAAATCATAACACAGTTACTGGGACATTAAGTTTTATTATTATTATTTAGAAGATTAATTAGCTGATTAATTAATCAGCTGCTTTTATTTATTTATAATTATTATTTTATTTATTATTTTTATTGTTGATATGACCAGACTGATTTATTGTCCTTATTTATACAGTTATTTTACTGTACATTGAGAGTAATTTTTTAGTTTACTTGAACACATGATGTTTTGGGATATACATATACATTTAATTTAATCTTTATTTTCTTCAGATATTTTAAAGGGAGTTCACCCAAAAATGAAAATTATCTCATCATTTACTCATCTTTTACTTTCCTCTTTCAGCCGAACATATAAAATTAAATAATATATTGGCTCTTCCCAGCTTTGTAAAAGCTCCAAAAAGTGCATTTATCCGTCATAGAATCCATCCATACGACTACAGTGGGTTAATAAAGGCCTTCTAAAGCAAAGCCATGGGTTCCTGCACGAAAAATATCCATATTTAAAACTTTCTGAACTATAATCACTGGCTTTCAGCAACAGCCGTTTCAGAAGGGCTTTATTAACCCAATGGAGTCGCATGGATTACTTTTATGATGGATGGATGTGCTTTTTAGAGGTTCAAATGAAGTCATATACACATAGGAAGGTGAGCAAATCATGGGATAATTTTGGTTTCACTTTAAGAGCCCAGGTATATTAGATTGCAGCTGCATGTGTTCAGAGGTTTAAGCGTGCGCGCTCACCAGCGGCGGCCTTAAGCATCTGGGGCCCCGTTTCAATAACTAATATGGGGCCCCACATAAAACATAAACATAATAGAGCAGAAAAAGCATGGATTCCTGTTGGTTTGCATCAATGGTATATTATTTTATCACGTGCACTTTCAGCTTCATGAACAGGCAGCTCAACATAGAAATAATCCAACCTTATTTGATTAAAACTATATACAATTATACAGCGTTTTACGTTGGAATAAGCCTCGCCCAACTTCACTTTTGGTAGACTGAATAAATCTTTTCTTTTGTTGTCCGATATCTCTCGTTTTTCAGCGCCACTGGCATATGTTTCATTTCCTCTTAAAATTATTTTTCTGCTCAAAATAACATTTTGACCTAACGGCAAAAAAGGAAAAGGTGTAAATACATAAACTACCGTTTTTATACTTCAGATCGCTTAAGCCGTGCGCGGGGGCGGTAAACGTCGCCATGGTAACCGCGAGTTCGACCAATCAGAGACGTCAGTGTTGCTTAGAATTGTGGGTAGTGTAGTATTTCTCCAGAAGATCGCGAATAACAAGGTTGATTTCGTAGCTTGTGGCTTTTATAGGAGCAGAAACATTCGTTTCACAACCTCGTGGTCAATCTACCTTGGATGGTTTAGACATTATGGCTGAAAATCAATATCCTACGGAGAAAATGAATGGGATTTTGCTGGTCTGTTGTTTCAGTTGAAACGGGTGAAACATCGTCAGTCTCTCACCCGTCTCCGGACACATCTCGTCCAGGAGCTTGACCATGCCTTCGCCCTGCATGATGGTCCAGGCTTTGATAGGAGAGCCTCCCCCGATCTTGCTGTACTGCTCCTGGATCTTCGGTGTGCGACGCTTGGCAATGAAAGGGCCGAGTTTACTGAGACACACGGGAAACACACACATCTGAGAAGGTCTGAGAGACGTAACACTGATTTGTGTGTGATTGATATTAATTCTTACTTTTGCACGGGGAGTTTCATGAGGTCTGTGTCCATGAAGAGCCGTAAGAGGAAGTCATGCACGTCTTCCAGTTTCTCCGGGCCGCCCATGTTTAACATCAGAATCCCTGTTTTGGGTTTTCTGCAGATGAAATGAATGTTTGAGTCGATTTTTTAGAAAGCATTGCGAGTTACCAACATAGCTAAATGATTTGGCATTTCCTGAAACCGTAGTTTTAACGAACAGCATTGTGGTTGTAACTAGTTTAGTTTAAGACAGTTAGTTTAGTTTTAGCACAGACAAGTTGAGATAAAAAAGTAGCAATAAAACAAATAACAAAAGTACACAACAATACATTCACACAAAATAAAACCGTATACAGCAGTTATAGGCCATTTTAAAGCCCCCCTGTGGTGAAAATCCAGTTTTTAATGTTGTTTATGTGTGTCTGTGGTGTTTTTAATACGCTTTAAGACAAGCCATGTGTAAATCATAAGTCGACAGCATTGCTGAGTATTTCCTCCTTAAAACTGCAGTGAACCAAAGACAGTCTCAAAAACACGGTTTGAAATCGCTGGTGTTTCTGACGTCACAAACGACCTTGTAACCAATCAGATCAACGTGTGATCGTCAACCAGTGGATCTCTGAGTGAGTGGAGGCGGGGCTCATTTGCATATTCATAGAACCACGCATACTAAATGAGGCAAGGGTGTCGAGTTACATTCAAGATATTTTAAGGCATAAAGATTTTTTTCAAAGAAAAAAAATGTTTAAATATGTAATTTTGGTGATCAAAGATGAGTTTTAAGGGATAATTAAACTTTAAAAAGATTTAAAAAGCCTGTAGAGGCAGATCTTAAGGACAAAGGCACAAAATTCATGATCCTCTTAAGTTTTAAGCAATTCTCAATTTAACTTAAGTTATACTCAATGAGACTCCAGTCCAAACTAGCCAAAACAGGAGTAATACTTTGTTTAGTCCCTTCTTAAAGGGGTCATATAATGGTACATGCACTTTTACAAGTTGATTGTACTGAAATGTGTGTTGGCAGTGCCTGTACACAACCATCATATAATGATAAAAATCCATCCAGTGTTTTTGTTTTAATCTCCTTATATGTTTTCCCCTGCCTCAAATTGAGCCGTTCGTTTTTGTGACGTCAATAAAACGGACGCCCCTCCCGCGATTGTTGATTGACAGCAGTGATTCAACACAGACCCGCCCTCGCTCGTGAGAGCTGTCAATCATAGTCTGCGCGGACCGGCGCGGTCATTGTTGATATGCTGGAGCACTGTCTATGAGCAGAATGGCGTCTAAGCGATTGTGGTGTTCTGTTCTTGGGTGTAATAACGAACACAGTCATTTTAATGTTCCTAAATCCGAACCGCTGAAGACGCAGTGGCTGAGTTTGTTTTCGAAGGGAATATTCCCCACGAGCAACGTCAATGCTCTCATGTTTGCCGAATCATTTCTCACCAGACTGCTTTATAAACGAGGGTCAGTATAAAGCTGGTTTTGCTGAGAAGCTGCTCCTGAATAAAGGATCGGAACCTATTCGTGTTCCTGCTGAACCTTCAGAAGAACTAAAGTGAGTGTAACGTTTTATTAATCTTTATATTAATATTTATATAATCTTTGCAAATCGCCAGCTGCACGCTTCACGATGAATGCGTCTAAGGTTTACACTCAGGGTACATTACAGCATGTTTTCTATGTACAACGTTCTCAATATAATTCATAATCCCCCGTTTATACTGAACAACGCGTTATGGTTATTGTGTTATTGTGTTACAAACGGTGTATGCGCAGAACAGAGAGGCGGAGTGAGCAAAGCTCATTATCATTTAAAGGCATATGCACTGAAACGGCGTGCTGAAAACAGAGCTGTTTTTGACCAGGTAAAATAAGTGTTTTCTTACAATACTAATGATAATTTTTAATTTAAGTATATTACAAACTTTTAATTTAGACCCTAAAGAATCATATTAGCTTGTACAAAAATGGCATTATATGACCCCTTTAAAGTCTGGGTGCAGAATTTGGACAAACTGGAGGCGAAATAAACAAGATTAAACAACCCCTAAAGTTTATTTGTTTATCAAATACAAGTGCCGGGTTAAAAATGGCTCCCAAATTTTTGTTCGGTATTTGTTAGCACTTCAGTCTTGGAGTCATTTAATCAATAAAGTTCTCCGCCATCCGACTTTTAACAAACAATCAAACAATGACTGGAGAGATAATGTCCTTCTCATCTGGTTTTATTAGAAGATAAAGCTGTGTGTCGTCTGCATAACAATGATATAAAATCTGATGCAACATATGAAAAATATTGGCTAATGGAGGGAGAACAAAACCGGGCCTAAGACGGAGCCCTGTGGCACACAACGACTTTAGATATACACAAACGGTGTGCTCGTATTAATATGAATGGGAGAAAGAGCAACGTGCAATATCACAGAATAAGCCCCGCCTTCTAGATAAAAGAGCCAATGGGCAATTGGTAAAGCTCAGATTTCATTGGTGATTTCAAATGTAAGCTTGGTGAACAGCTTTGGAGAATTTCCTCATTCAAAGAGACACTTGCATGACTGAAAGTGAGGCGAACATACTGTTTAAAAGCATAATAATAGAACTAGTGTTTGTGTGAGTTTTGTTATTGAGCATGTGTGATCATGTGATTTCCCAGCAGGCCTTGAGGCGCACAGGAGGAGGAGAGTGTTTAATTGTACCTGTTCTCTTGAGTCTCTGGAGTGGGTGAGGTGGCGAACGCAGCGGCCGTCGACTGTCGTCTGAGAAACACACTCGTGCACTGACTCACGGTGGGACTGCACCTGACCACTGACACACACACACACACAACATTGTTAACACCACGCCTTGTTAAAAACCTGTATGATATCAAAAATACATTGAGTCTGTATTTCATTTGATTCATTTTATAGTTAATTTAAAATAATAAACCCAGCATTGATAATCTTTTTTAGTGTGAAAGGTCATACTTTTATTTTTTTATTACGAAGACTCCAAACTGCATAAATAAATACATAAATAACATGAAAATAAATAAAGGAATATATGACTTGATAAAACCATACAGTGAATTTTTTAATTATATTATATTTAGGCCTTTTTCTTTTTTGCATTTATTTTTTTAAACAACAAATGCACATGAAACATTGTTTTACAGATTAAATTAAATAATAAAAATATATATTTTGCATTTTGATATAATTTTCAATGCCAATTAAGCAAAAATTTATTTAATTTCATTACTTATTTTATACATAAATTATGCATTAATGTACTGTTAAGGCATTATACATATCTATATTGCATTCTGCCTTTATATGTTTTTTAAGTCTTATTTCTTGCATTTTTTATTTTTAAATATTAGATTATATAATTTTAACAGCATATCAAGATCAGTACATATAATATTACATATTATTTGGTCTATATTCTTCCAGACTGAACATAATTCCAGTGGCATGTTATGATATGATAATAAATAGAAATACATAAAAGCATATAATAATGTCTCGTGTGAGAGCGCTGCAGTAGCGCCGCGCGGCCGCTGGGAGTCGCTGATGGCGCAGTTACGCAAGTTGTAAAAGCATGTGTTGTGTAACATGATGTTTAACGCCACGGAAACTTTAACTCCCGCTTTTGGTTGACGACTCGCTCATGTAAACTTCGCGCACTCATTTTGAAAACAGCAAATGAAAACATCTGTGCGAATATTTAGCGAAGAGGTTAAAAAGTGCAGAAAGAAACCAGAGCAAAGTCATCGAGACACTTTAACCTTCATGAACAGCGCTGGCATAAACAGAGCTCATTTCAGCCCTCATACTGCTCATGTGTGTAATCACAATTATTATTGCATAATCATCTCAATGAATGAATGTCATGTGTGTATTTAGATTCATAAACACACTTACGCTGTATCAGCCGGCACGCGCCTCCCAAAACCGCCATTATTTACCGCTCGGATATAAAATCTCCTCGTATTCCAGCGGCGGAAGACAAAGAAAAGCTTGAACTGAAGACTTAAAGCGCTTGCTTGTCTCTCTAAAGCAATGAAATTCCGATATAGAGCTGCTGATCGGTGTCAGTGTTATCACGGCGTGATGACGTATGCCACTGGCCCCGCCCCCACGTACCGACACACCCTCCCGCATACGTCATCACGCCAGGACAGGAGCGACGTGGGGTTTCTGTGTAAAATTAGCTTATTGCTTCATTTGCGCGAATCAAACAGCACAAAAAACACACTTTGACAATCCACACAAGCATATTATAATAGTACATATATATATATATATTTTTTTTTTATTTTATTTATATAAAAACGTAATAATACGAAAATAAAGGACAACACGAGATAAAACAAATACAATTGTATTACTTTTACCCTATATTTATTATTCCTTTTTTTCCCTCCCAACTTTAGTTATGCGGGTTATGGCCTCCATATTTAATGTCTATATATATATATATCTTTATGCATGTGAAGGAAAATATCTTTCTAAATTTCATTGTCCTGATCTATCGTTTGATGGCTTTTTTTAACAACAACGAAATGAAAAGCAAAGAGATTCGATGTTAAAGCTGTTTTTTTACAGGTATTTGTAACTGGTTCTGCTACAAGCCATATATAAGTCATCTTTATTGCAAAAAAGGGTACAAATCACAAGTGACTAACCAAAATACATAACAATATACAAGATTATAACACGTAAACAGAAAACAGTTTTGCCAGGGGAAGCTTACGGGCCATTAGAAAGAGAAAGAGGGCCATATGTTGACAGTTTTAACTGCCTTTTTGTCGTTGGAGCCAGAAATCAGATTAATATAATGTACATGGAGAAAAAGTACAAAATTATTTTTTTAGCGCTGAATTTACATTTATGAATGTGAAATTTTGCCAAAAGAATTAAAACATTTATAATGAAGTACATCTTTTCTTTACTTAAAGCAAAATACAACATTCTTCCACAATAAGGCAAAGTCTTTATAAATATGGTCAATGATGAATCTGCCAAGGTTTTGCCTAAATGTTCTGGTGTGTGAGCAATACCAAGAGTACAAACCAGTTCCTGGGTCTGGCCTTCACAAAAGAACAGTTTGTATTGATGTCTTTTTAAAATGTAACCATTAGCAAGGTAATATCTGTGAATTTCTTTCACCTCGTTTACTATCAAGTATCTGTGAGGAATCATCCAAACCTTTTCCCAGTCAATTACAAATCGGTTCCAAATAAAATGTAACATTTGGAATAGAAACAATTTCTTTCTGGAATAATGCACAAATGTTCTTTTTATTTTATGGAAGATGGGAAAAACAGAACCAGCAGAGTCTGATTGAGTGCCCAATTCTCAAAAAAGAGTGACTTGTTCTTATATAAAATATCTCTGTTATTCCACATTAGATACCTGTGCGGTGAGAAATTATGCTTATAAACTAGAGACCAAGCTAAAAGGACCTGCTTGTGAAAAGTGGACAGTTGTTCAAAATAAAGCCCAGACCACCAAAGCGAGAGAATATATAGTGGGGAATAAAAGTCCAAATCGAGACAATGCTCAGCCCAATTAATCTTAAAGGTATTATTTAGACTTGAGTATTGAAGTCCAAAAAGTTGAGCCCACCAGATTCATCATTATTCATAACAACACTTTTTTTTTTTGATATAATGGGTACACCTCTCCATTGTAGTCTCGAGTTTCTCCCGGGAACGAACACGTCACAATATTCCTCATTATAATAATTCATACGCAGAATAAAGGGGCGGGGCCTGGTTGAGTTAGTTAGTAGTGTGTTAAACTGGTGGTTATGGAAAGGGGCGGGACATTTCCCAAACACACTCGACCAATCACAGCACACTGATCCAGCCGACCAATCCGAGCACAGTGTGCTTTTCAGAAGGAGGGGCTTCATAGAGACAGGAAGTAAACAGAGCGTTACTGCCAGACTGGGAAGAGAGGAGCCGCAACAATGGAGAATATGAGGAAAATAATCAACATTCAAGCAGGAAAACCTGTTCTAGTAGAGTGTGTAATAGGTTTATCATAACAGTGCAGTTGAGCTGCTCTCTGATGTCCTCTAATGGATTAAAACACAAGTGCATCATCATTGATTTATTATGCCACATTTGAACATTACAGACACAATCCTCTTTCAAACCGTCTTCTGATTAGATCTTTAAACATGACGTGTATATATGAATATGGTCTTTAATATATAAGTATGGTCTGAAGCAACGGGAGCGAGTGCTGTGATTTTGTAGTTGGTCTCTTGCAGTGATGTGTGTGTGTGTGTGTGTGTGGTTAAGGGCGGCAGCGCTGGATGAAGCGTGGGTAGAGGCAGACGTCACGGATGTGGTGGCGGTTCAGGAGCCAGGTGAGGAACCGCTCCAGTCCCAGACCGTATCCACCGTGAGGACACGTGCCGAACTTCCTCTGCAACACACACACACACACACACACACACTGAATACGGCAATATATTTTAACCATTGTGAGCTGGTCGAAATATTCAATATTCAAGATAACTCTGGTAGCATTATTGTTTTTAACGCTATCAATCAATTAATTTGCAACAAGTTGCTCGTTGCATTTGTCATATATTAAAATATTGTATAAGCTAGTAAATATTGCTGTTTATTTTGTATTGGTACACTTGTGTATGTAAATATAAATTAACATTTTATTTCATATTCTTACTGCAAACAGGGCTTGATTATTATAGAATTACATTTATTAACTTAAGTTTTACATTAAACACTGTTGCCAACAATAGCTATTTGAAAACAAAATTCACTATTTAAATCATTTCAGGGAAAATATAAAACTATCAAGATGCACACGATCATTCAAAAGTGTACATTACGCTTTTGAACGTTTTCTGCTCATCTTAAGCTGAATTTATTTGATAAAAAATACAGTGAAATATTATTACACTTTAAATCATCTGTTTTCTATGTGAATATTTTGTAAAGTGTAATTTATTCCTGTGATCAAAGCTGAATGTTCAGCATCATTACTCCAGTCTTCAGTGTCACATGATCCTTCTCAAATCACTCTAATATGATTTGATGTTTATAAACATTTATGATTATCAATGTTGAAAACAGTTCATATTTCTGTGGAAACCGTGATAGATTTTATTTCTCAGGATCCTTTAGTGAATATAAAACAGCATTTATTTGAAATAGAATCTTTTTGTAACATTATGTTCTGATCGATTGAATGCATTCATGCTAAATACACATATTAATGTCCTCCTGTAATCTGAATCTATGATAGTGCACGTGAGAGATGTTACCTGGTCAGTGTACCAGTAGTAGGGTGTGGGGTCGATTCCCTCTCTCTTATACCCGTCCAGGAGCTCCTCCGCGTCCCAGATACGCATGGATCCTCCCACGATCTCCCCGACGTTAGGCATCAGCACATCCACCTGACACACACACACACACACACACACACACACACACACACATTTACAATGCCTGGCTGGTAGCTCCGCCCACAGTGAAATCCCATTGGTCCACATAACTGCATGTTAAACACCACATGAGTTTTGATTGGCTGTGAATGCAATGGCTTTGGTGTAGACAGGGAAAAATAATGTTACTGGAAATTTTTGTTTCGAGATGTTCAAAATGTTTTCGATACCGGTTACTGAACGATACTTTTTTCAATAGTAATTTTATGAACAGATAATGTTATAGCAGAGGCTGTAACATTAATGTGAAGAGGGAAACTGTTAATGCAGCCACCCTTAAGGAGGATAACAGCACTTGACAAGATAGCTAGTTTAATGTGAGTTAATTTAATTATTCCCGTTTTAATTTTTCTGGATTCCGTTTTTAATTTTTTTTGGATGGCTAAATTAAATTTTATTAATCAAAAAGCATGTGTAATTAATTGAAATCATTAACCTTGTTCAAATTAACAGCAATTTATTAACAGTTCAACAAAAATTACATTCTTAATTCTTTTTCTTCAATGTTTTATTTTGTTTATATTCAATTTAAATGGTTTAATCAAAAACATATCTAATTAATTGAATTCATAAAAACAACTTAATTTGTGTACAAATTATACAAATATAATATGAAATTAAATCTTTTTTTTTTTTTTTTTTTTAGAAATTCTGCGTTGTGCATTGTAATTTTTCTGTTAAATGAAGGCATAAAACATTAATCTATCTTTTATTCAAATGAAAATTAAACAAGCCCTTTAATTTGTTGGCTAACAAGTGCCACACAACAGAGGTTTATTGTTAAAATTATAACATGGAAGAAAATTTGTTTTAATAATAATTGTATTATTGTTAGTAGTAGTAGTAGTATTACATTAGGATGTACATTATACTGTACAAGAGTAATATATTTCCATCACAGTTTCTTTGTTAAACCAAACTTTTATTTTAACGGGTTGCGTGTAGAGCTTGCTGTTGTGAGAATATTAAACATAGTCCTTTTACGTGTCACTGCGTCATTCATTGCATCAAGCCGTTGCCATCAAGCCAGCGTAACAGTGTTTCCCCTTGATGCCTCGCCACAGCCAATCAGAGGCACTGGATTTGGGCGTATCATACATGCTGCATCGAAATTTGGTACCTGAACGACAACACGTTTTTTGATACTCGATGGTATCAAGGCAATTCAGTCGGTGCCTAAAAAGTATCGAACTTCTAGGAACGAGCCGCCAGGGTGTTTCCCCGAGAACTAATGGGAACGTTTTCCTGGTTGCATTCGCACCGCTAGTAGGAACTGAAGTGACGTGAGCCGCGCATGTTGTGACTTTTATTTTGACGGTGCTGAGAACGCCAGAGCCTGAGCTCACAGTGCTCACATTCTCCATGTTCATCAGTGTACGATCTGTCTAACAGCCCTGTCTAACACGTTATTAGATAGACCTGTTATACATAGAAAGTAGACAGTAGCGAAACGTTATTAGCGTTTGCCGTGTGGTTGATGTCCCGTGTTGCTAGCTAAGGATGTTTCGCCTGGTCTCCTCAAAGTCGCGTTGGGTTTTCTCCTCAGCGTGAAGGTAAAGAGGTCCATCTATCAGTTTTACATGTTCGTAGAGTTAGTTTGTGGAGTAAATAAATAGGCCATAATCTGTGTGTTTAAACAGCCTTTTAAAAAATGGCGGGTGCTGGTGTTTCGCGTGCGTTCGGCCAATCAGCAAACACTAACGTCACGGATAGTTCCTATAGCGCTAGTTTAGACCGACTCTGAAGCAGGAGCCAAATGAGTTCCTCCAAAACGAGATCCTAGTACTAAAATCCGAGACATCCGACATCTGGGAACTTCTGCTAATAGTTCTAGGAATTGAAAAGGTTCCTCCGGTGCGATTGATACCCAGCCCTAGTTATGACACGGGTTAATGGCAGAAAGTGTGTGTGATCCTGACCGATTCAGTGAGGCGCCGGTCCTCAGGGCAGCGCTGCATGTAGAAGGACTTGATCTCAGCCGGGAATCGACACAGCAGGATCGTCTCGTTGATGGCGTCGGTCATCAGGCGCTCAGGGGCTTCTGGGATATCCTGTGGAAATGACACACAAATGGTCAAACATCATCATAACTCGAGCGTTTCTCCGTAGTTCAGCGCTCTTGGCAATAACGTACGAGACTCGACGTAACAAACCTCTCCAAACTCGTAAAACGTGCCATCATCCTTCTTGATGTTGTGCTCCTTTAGCCAATCAATGGCCTCGGTGTAGTTCATCCTCTTGAACGGACGTTTGGGAGGCTTGAAGTCCTGCAGGAGGAAAATAAAAAGATCATATTTTATATTTTATGGTCAACAATACATAACTATTCAAAAGAACATTCACAATGTTGCCCGGTCAATTTCATGACTTTTACAGGCCTGGATTGTGTTTAAAGGCCTTTAAAATGGATGTTTCCATGTTTTCATGACTGCGAGGACCTCTGTGTATGATATTGAGAAACCCATATAATGCTGTTGTGAGAGGTCAGGGGTCGTACAGGGTTCAGGTCGTAGAGCAGTTGGGCGGCAGGAGACTTCAGGACCCTGTCAACCACATCACACACCAGATCCTCCAACCTGTTCAGAAGGTCTTCATAACTCATGAAGGGACACTCAGCCTCGATGTGGGTGTACCTGAGAACACACACACACACAGACACACACACGTTGGGTTTTCATGTTGACTCTCCATAGATGTAATGGTTTTTATACTTTACATGCTGTCCCCTTACACTAACCCTACCCATCACACACACACTATTCTTACATTTTCAAAAAAACACCACTTAGTCTGATTTATAAGCTGCTTTCCTCATGGGGACCAAAAAATGTCCCCACAATGCAAGGAATATCTAAACCACACACACACACAGTCTCTCTCTCTCTCACACACACACTCACTCACTCGGACAGGTGTCTGCGGGTGCGCGACTGCTCGGCGCGGTAGGACTGTGCGATGCAGAAAGTGTCTCCCAGCGCAGGGATGCAGGTCTCCAGGTAGAGCTGAGACGACTGCGTCAGGTACGCGTTCTCGCCGAAGTAGTTGAGACTGAAGAGGGTGGAGCCGCCCTCCACCTGCGTCTGCACCAGAGTGGGCGGAGTGATCTGAGGAACACACGAAACAAACCTTTACCTCAACACCTCTTAAATAATAAAAAGGATGTAAACACTGTAACAGGCCACTCAGTAATCTGGTAAATTTGTGCGCACTGGTAATCATATTTTTTCAAATAAAGACAAGGTAATGCTAATTTTACATACAGCAAAAGTGCATCTATCCATGATAAAAGTGCATCTATCCATGATAAAAGTGCATCTATCCATGATAAAAGTGCATCTATCCATGATAAAAGTGCACCTATCCATCATAAAAGTGCATCTATCCATGATAAAAGTGCATCTATCATCATAAAAGTGCATCTATCCATGATAAAAGTGCATCTATCATCATAAAAGTGCATCTGTCCATCATAAAAGTGCATCTATCATCATAAAAGTGCATCTATCATCATAAAAGTGCATCTATCCATCATAAAAGTGCATCTATCATCATAAAAGTGCATCTATCCATGATAAAAGTGCATCTATCATCATAAAAGTGCATCTATCATCATAAAAGTGCATCTATCCATGATAAAAGTGCATCTATCCATCATAAAAGTGCATCTATCATCATAAAAGTGCATCTATCCATCATAAAAGTGCATCTATCATCATAAAAGTGCATCCATCCATCATAAAAGTGCATCTATCCATGATAAAAGTGCATCTATCATCATAAAAGTGCATCTATCCATGATAAAAGTGTATCTAGCCATGATAAAAGTGCATCTATCATCATAAAAGTGCATCTATCATCATAAAAGTGCATCCATCCATCATAAAAGTGCATCTATTCATCATAAAAGTGCATCTATCCATGATAAAAGTGCATCTATCATCATAAAAGTGCATCCATCCATCATAAAAGTGCATCTATTCATCATAAAAGTGCATTTATCCATGATAAGAGAAATATCCACATTTAAAACTTTATAAAGTAAAATAACTAGCTTCCGGCCAAACGAACACACGTATTCGACTTAAGTCTGAAGTCTTGCACACTCTGTCCGAAATCCGCGTCCGAAATTTTCGCACGTTAAAAAATAAACGTTATGTCAATCACGCTCGCACACCGCCTCCGAAACTTTCGTCCGTCATAAAAAAAAATTGGATCGGGTTCGATTTTCTGCGTTTTTCGCATCCGTAGCGAGCGGTGTGAATGGTGTTTTGACAATTCAGAGCCACCGAATCACGAATACGAAAAAACGCATACGAAAATTTCGCCTCAGTGTGCAAGGGCCTTAAAGCGCAACTTATGCGAGTAATGCGACGTTCTGCTGATATTTACGCTACGCCATGACAAGTTGTGCAAGTAGACTTTGTATGCTCGTTTGGCCGGAAGCTAGAATTTTAGAAGTGTTAAAAGTGAATATTTTTCATACACAAGCGCATCGCTTCGCTTCAGAAGGCTTTTATTAAACTTTTATGATGGATAGATGCACTTTTATGGACTACAAAACAGAAACAGCCCTTCACTGCCATTATAAAGCTTGAAAGAGCCAGGATATTTTTTAATATACCCATTGTATCCGTCTGAAAGAAGAAAGTCATATACACCTACTGTAGGACGACTTGAGGGTGAGCAAATCATGGGCTAATTTTCTTTATAGGGTGAACTATCCCTATAAGGAGCGTGTGCTTAATGTGTGTGTGTGCTTCAGGAATGACCTCGCAGTAACCCCGGCTGAAGAAATGATCCCGGAAACACTGGGTCACGGTGGATCGGACTTTCAGGATCTTGGAGACGTTTTCCCCGCGGATCATCATGTGCCGGTTGTTCAGCTGCACGTCCACGTCAGACTCCTCGTTCAGCAGGTTATCAGCGCCGCCCGCCGGAGCCAGACCCATCAGCTCCCAGAAATCACAGTGCAGCTCATGGCCACCCGGAGCCTCGCAAAACAAAACAACACAAAACCATTAACTGCATGGAGAAAAAAAACACACTATTCTTGTGTTTAAGAAATCAAACAGGCATGGAAAAGACTTTAAGGGTCATGAAACCCCCTGTTCTAACCAGGGTTTTGCAACGGCATGCTGTCATGAATAATTAAGCCCGCCGTCTTCACATTGGATAAGGACACTCAGTCTCATGAATAATTAAGCAAGGCGTCTTCTCAATAAGCAAGGCGTCTTCTCAATAAGCGAGGCGCCTTCTCATTGGATAAGGACACGCAGTCTCACCAATAATTAAGCGAGGCGTCTTCTCATTGGATAAGGACACAATCTCATGAATAATTAAGTAAGACTTCTTATTGGATAAGGGCACGCAGTCTCATGAATAATTAAGCAAGGCGTCTTCTCGTTGGATAAGGACACGCAGTCTCACGAATAATTAAGCAAGGCGTCTTCTCATTGGATAAGGGCACGCAGTCTTATGAATAATTAAGCAAGGCGTCTTCTCGTTGGATAAGGACACGCAGTCTCACGAATAATTAAGCAAGGCGTCTTCTCGTTGGATAAGGACACGCAGTCTCACGAATAATTAAGCGAGGCGTCTTCACATTGGATAAGGACACTCAGTCTCATGAATAATTAAGCAAGGCGTCTTCTCAATAAGCGAGGCGCCTTCTCATTGGATAAGGACACGCAGTCTCACCAATAATTAAGCGAGGCGCCTTCTCATTGGATAAGGGCACGCAGTCTCACGAATAATTAAGCGAGGCGTCTTCTCATTGGATAAGGACACAATCTCATGAATAATTAAGTAAGGCTTCTTATTGGATAAGGGCACGCAGTCTCATGAATAATTAAGCAAGGCGTCTTGTTGAATAAGGACACGCAGTCTCACGAATAATTAAGCGAGGCGTCTTCACATTGGATAAGGACACTCAGTCTCATGAATAATTAAGCAAGGCGTCTTCTCAATAAGCGAGGCGCCTTCTCATTGGATAAGGACACGCAATCTCACGAATAATTAAGCGAGGCGTCTTCTCATTGGATAAGGACACTCAGTCTCATGAATAATTAAGCAAGGCGTCTTCTCAATAAGCGAGGCGTCTTCACATTGGATAAGGACACTCAGTCTCATGAATAATTAAGCAAGGCGTCTTCTCAATAAGCGAGGCGCCTTCTCATTGGATAAGGACACGCAGTCTCACGAATAATTAAGCGAGGCGTCTTCTCATTGGATAAGGACACAATCTCATGAATAATTAAGTAAGGCTTCTTATTGGATAAGGGCACGCAGTCTCATGAATAATTAAGCAAGGCGTCTTGTTGAATAAGGACACGCAGTCTCACGAATAATTAAGCGAGGCGTCTTCACATTGGATAAGGACACTCAGTCTCATGAATAATTAAGCAAGGCGTCTTCTCAATAAGCGAGGCGCCTTCTCATTGGATAAGGACACGCAATCTCACGAATAATTAAGCGAGGCGTCTTCTCATTGGATAAGGACACTCAGTCTCATGAATAATTAAGCAAGGCGTCTTCTCAATAAGCGAGGCGTCTTCACATTGGATAAGGACACTCAGTCTCATGAATAATTAAGCAAGGCGTCTTCTCAATAAGCGAGGCGCCTTCTCATTGGATAAGGACACGCAGTCTCACGAATAATTAAGCGAGGCGTCTTCTCATTGGATAAGGACACAATCTCATGAATAATTAAGTAAGGCTTCTTATTGGATAAGGGCACGCAGTCTCACAAATTATTAAGCGAGGCGTCTTCTCATTGGATAACTATACAATCTCATGAATAATTAAGCGAGGCTCCTTATTGGATAAGGGCACGCAGTCTTATGAATAATTAAGCAAGGCGTCTTCTCGTTGGATAAGGATACAATCTCATGAATAATTAAGCGAGGCTCCTTATTGGATAAGGGCACGCAGTCTTATGAATAATTAAGCAAGGCGTCTTCTCGTGGATAAGGACATGCAGTCTCATGAATAATTAAGCAAGGCGTCTTCTCATTGGATAAGGACACACAGTCGCATGAATAATTAAGCCAGGTGTCTTCTCATTGGATAAGGACACACAGTTGCATGAATAATTAAGCTAGGCGTCTTCTCATTGGATAAGGACACAGTCGCATGAATAATTAAGCTAGGCGTCTTCTCATTGGATAAGGACACACAGTCGCATGCATAATTAAGCCAGGTGTCTTCTCATTGGATAAGGACATGCAGTCTAATGTATAATTATGAGACAGCGATGAGTCAGTCATTGATGTACTATAGTACAAGAAAACTGTCGACACAAAGACTAAACCTGTTGAGAACAGCACAAAAAAAGACAATTTACTAGTTTTCTCCTACAATTAACGAACGGATGGTTACATTCAACACATAAAAATGTAGTCGAAGTAAATTTAGTTTAGGGTTTCATGACATGGCGAGTAAACTTTCCTTTTAATGAACAGTCCCTTTAAATATAGGTAATTAAAAATGAATCATTATTATATTAAAATCATATTACCTGTTTGCCCTCAGGAACAGGTTTGACGGTTCCATACAGAGCGACGGTGCTCTCCGTAGATAACATCAGTCCATTATAACACTGACACTGAACACAGAAAACACCCTTCATCATCTCAACAACACCTTCCACTGCATTTCACTTCTTACATTCAATATCGTCAAACATGGCTGTTTACAACTGACTAAAAACAACCCATTTCAGAGCTAATACAAGTTTAAGATATGGAGATATGCAAATCATCATATTAGAGTGATTTGTGAAGGATCATGTGACACTGAAGACTGGAGTAATGATGCTGAACATTCAGCTTTGATCACAGGAATAAATTACACTTTACTATATATTCACATTTTCACTGTATTTTTGATCAAATAAATGCAGCCTTGGTGAGTAGAAGAGACTGTTCAAAAACATTTAGAAATCTTACCCACCCCAAAGTTTTAAGTGGTAGTGTATATTATAATTATATTTTATATATTTTTCGCTTTTATTTTCTTGTAATTAGGGCATCACCTAGCCTTAATCCTCATAACTAAGATACCTAATAACTAACAGGACAGATGGGACTAATTTACCTATTATAATAGTGTAAAATATCAACAAACACACACAGTACCAGTTTATCCGTGAGAACACACTGCAGGAAACCGGTTCCGTCGCGCAGCACAATAAACAGAAGGTTCTTTCCTGAGAAAACATTAGCAAAAACATTTTTAAATAAATGTATATTGTATTAAATGTTGATTGATTCTAGATGAACAAACCTTGTCTGCGCAAGCGATGCACCCAACCGAACACCTTCACCCTCTGCTCTCTGAACAGCTCCAGTTTATCAATCTTCACCTGAGCGGCACAGAAAATACAACTGAAAAACTTCATAAAGCAGACCAGAATACAACCTAGAAATGCATTAATAATCGGATTGATGGCTTAATGGGATTTACATCAATGGATCCGATGGAGCTCAACCCCTAAAGAGATTTCAATCTGATTAAAAGGGGCGGTAAATACCATAAAAAATCAATTTATAAGGAAAATATTAGCGGTTTAAACCTTTGAATCCGGCTACTTTCTCAACCAGATTGAAAAATACCTTGCGTACATTTATTCACATCTTACAAACGCAACAGGGCTCCAGACTAACTTTTCCACTGGTTGCACTGGTGCTACCAACTTTCTCCGTTGGTCGCACCAGCATATGATTTGGTCGCACTTTTTTTTTTTTTTATGCCATGGGATTAATCAATGCATGCTGATGATTAGTGGTTTTAATAGACCAAGGCTAGCAAAGGCTTTCTGGGTTGCAGCAGAAATACCTGTAATACATTAATTATCATTGCCAAATTTCAGGATTTTCATGGATTTTGGACAGTAATTTTAATCTGTAATTTTAAGCATTTTATATTTGAATTATATACAATCTATCTATTTACATTTGAATCATATTCTATCTATCTATCTATCTTTCTGTCTATTATCATCTTTCTATATTTTAAAAATCATTAAACATTCAAATGTATGCATTACATTTTAAAAGATTAGAGTATTATAATAAACTGATACAGATTTTTCGTTATCAAAGTTTATAGTTGTAACAAAAAGCAGAAATCTCACACTCCTTACCTTCTGCATTTTATAATAATTCCTTTTCCTCTGATGAGCGATCATGAGAGTAATCGCTCGACAGAGGAAAATATAACCGCTGAAAAGACGTAGGAGGAAGGGGCTCTGTGTTTCGTGAGACCTTTTTTATATGCCTTAATTCGTGAATTCGTAATTGGCGCGTTTCACCATCAGTGTGCGATGCGCGTGACGTCTACGTTCGTCAATAAATAAACTGCACGTGTCTTGCGTAAGAACACTGTAGACGGAACTTCTCTCCGTTAATGTCTATGGCGAGTCACGCAGGCACTGGGATACCCCGCAGCCGAGACGACCCCGGCATAAAATAGTCCGAATATAAACATTTATTATAGGCGTAGTAGGCGTACCGTAGTGATTCAGAGTAAGTCAAAAACACGGTTTGGAAAATGGATTCATGATGAAGCCTACTCGTTCATTTTGAACATAAGTTACGGACTGCAGCAGCTGATACAACGGCGTTCTGTTGCTCAAGCGTCCACTCGCACAAATGCGACCACATAACATTTTAACTCGCACATTCTCAAAAAATGGTCGCATATGCGACCAATTTGGTCGCAGTCTGGAACCCTGCGCAATGACTGATGCTCTTTGAGAATATGAATTCGGATCAAATTCATTTGAAGTGCCAACATTTGAAGAACCTTATGTCTTTAAAAAAGGAACATTTAACATTTCCACTTTGATAGCAATCACTTTTTGTCTTGCAATTCTGACTTTTTTCTTACAATTATGAGAATGCGAGATATGGTCCTAATTGAGATATAAACTCGCAAATGCAAGTTTTTACAATTATCTCTTTAACTTTTTCACTCCAAGGCAGAAACAAAGAAAAAAAGTCAGAATTGCGAGATGTAAACTCAGAATTCCAAGTCAGAATTCCGAGATGAAAGTCAGAATTTCAAGTCAGAATTCCGAGATGTAAACTTAGAATTCCAGGTCAGAATTCCGAGATGTAAACTTAGAATTCCATGTCAGAATTCCGAGATGTAAACTTAGAATTCCAGGTCAGAATTCCGAGATGTAAACTTAGAATTCCAAGTCAGAATTCCGAGATGTAAACTTAGAATTCCAGGTCAGAATTCCGAGATGTAAACTTAGAATTCCAAGTCAGAATTCCGAGATGAAAGTCAGAATTCCGAGAAAGTCAGAATTGCGAGATTATTAAAAGATGTAATATGTAAACTTGCAATTGTTTATTATTTATATCCATTACTGCCCCTAAACCACCTACCCATCCTCATATTGTAACTCAGTGCTATTATATAATCAATATTATATTCTGAACGTAATTCAGGAAGTACTCACGGTTTTGGGTTCAGGAAGGCTGGGGTCGTTCTTGATGGTGATCTTTTTAGCTTCTTCCAGATTCTTCTCTCTGCGTTCAGCATCTTCAGCCTGTCAATCATGAGGTCAAAAGATGATCGATAGAACAGGAGTTATTACATGTCTGTGGAGGACAGGTGATGTTCCAGGTACCTCCTTCTGGTCTTTGCTCTCGCTCTTCATTTGCTCTCGGTTGAAGAGCTTCTTCGTGTTCTTCATTTGAGTCTTAGAGATGACGGCCCAGCGCTGACAACACAAACACACCGTAATGTTCAACTATCCAGAGGTCATACGGTACAGGTAAAACGCTATTCCTATCAAACTTTGTCAAGTTATTATGAATCACCTTAAAACACTCTCTTATGCAAAATATGCATATGTGCTAATTATTAATTAAATATGCACTAATTTTGCATGCACCATGAAAAAAAAAAGCACATTTGTGACAATTTTGCGTTAAAAGGTTTTTTCAAAACAGATACATCTAATATAACTTTGCCTTATTTCATAAATTTCAAAACATTATCTATTAGGGATGCACCGATATGAAAATTTTGGACAATACGATAACCGATAATTCTTTATATTTGAAAGCCGATAACCGATAATTTCTTTATATTTGAAAGCCGATAACCGATATATTGGCCGATAAATCTAAATCCAAATTTTATATAATTTTTGAGAGCCTGATTACAAAAACAAAAGTCTCACCATTAAAATCCACGTCTCAAGCACACAATTATAATGTTCTCATCATAATTTTATGTAGCCGATATGACAGACTTGCGCTGCACATGTTGCACTTTACTGTATTTTCCTTTTTTGAAGTGATTCTAATCATATTTCAAGCAATTCAAAATCATCATGTTGAACAGTGCACATCTGGAGTGTCTCAGCTGAAGGAAATAACCCATTATTTATAGGCCTGTAAAAATTAACATATATTGGCCGAAACCGATATGATGACCGATATATTGTGCATCCCTACTATGTAGACAGGGAAAACAATTTTCTTTACTCATGTCTGCTCAAATTGTGTATCAGCAAGTAAATACTAAATAAACCCTTTATAAAATGTATGCTTAGTGGATAATTTTTTTCTAATGATATTTGTATCATTAAATTCTATATGATCTTAATTTTTTCATTGGATTCAATAAAGGTAAAATCTTTAAATGTCAATTTCACAAGCAATTTTGTAATAATTTGTGTAGTGTAGGTTTATGTCAGGAACCAATCTTTTAAATCTATAGATTTATATGTTTATTGTTGTTACGGTTAGTAAGTTGTAAGGTTTACACACCTCTCCTTCCTTCTGTGAATCCACATAGAGCACTGGGAACGGGTCTTTTCCCACAAACAACAGTGCCTGAGAACATTTAGGAAATATAAATGAAAAAGTATGCAACGAAATACCGAAATCATATTTCATGAGAAGATGTGAATTATCTCCCGGCACCTTGAGTGGCGTTTTAAAGGGCTTTTGCTCGGATCCGTCTCCATCCACATCACTGCCCTGTTTATCAGACACGTACAGCTCTTCTGCAGGAGCAAACAACAGCAGAGTTAACATTTAGCAAGAGCAGGAAAAGGCTCAGGTCCTTCAGCGAGGGCATCAGGCCGACACGGCAGTGTTAATATACATCGACACTCATCAGGAAGCCTAAATAGACGAATATATGTAGAAAGTGGAAGTTGGTCTGGAAAAATTACGGCCTGGTTAAGAAAACAAGTGCAAATGTGCACGTTTTATGTTGTTTGGTATTTTAGGTTATTGCATTCATATTTACATTATATCAAATCATTTTCTAATTATTTACTAACAACTATTGATACAAACATTTTTTATTTAATTGTGCTCGAATGTGCTTTTGTAATACATTTCTTATTAATGGCAAGTATGTCATGTAGATGTAGGCTACATTTCCTTGAAGAGTAATGATCCTTTTTGTGTGTAAAAATGTACATTATTTTGAAAAACCACATACTAATTTAAAAAAATAATTGTAACAAAAAGCATCGGTATAGCATAGAAAAATGTTTGGTATCGCCCACCCCTAGCACTACTAGGATTAAAAGTAGAGATTGACCGATAATCGGTTTTACAGATATTTCCCCCGATATTTAAGCAGTTTAGTAATATCGGATTCACAGATAAATGGCGCAATTCAAAATGAATGCTTATATTTATGAAAAAAATTGTATTTATTCATGTTATTGCATTCATATTTACATTATATCAAATCATTTTCTAATTATTTACTAACAACTATTTGAAAACCCGTCCTTCGGATGAGACGTTAAACCGAGGTCCTGACTCTCTGTGGTCATTAAAAATCCCAGGATGTCTTTCGAAAGAGTAGGGGTGTAACCCCGGCATCCTGGCCAAATTTGCCCAGTGGCCTCTGTCCATCGTGGCCTCCTAATCATCCCTATATATATACTCTGATTGGCTTCATCACTCTGTCTCCTCTCCACCAGTAAGCTGGTGTGTGGTGAGCGTTCTGGCGCAATATGGCTGCCGTCGCATCATCCAGGTGATGCTGCACACTGGTGGTGGTTGAGGAGATTCCCCCCTTCCATGTGAAGCGCTTTGAGTGCCTAGAAAAGCGCTATATAAATGTAATGAATTATTATTATTATTATTATGTTCTCCGTTTAAAAACATTAGACTTTGAAAATGCATTTTGCCTTTTATTATTAATATTACAGCAGTTGTTATAAATAAAAAGATGTAAATGGAGTACTAAACTACGTTAAAGTAGCAATGTTTTTTTTTTTATTCAGGCGGTTTAGAAAGTTTATGCCTTTAAAAAAATGTGTTAAGAGATTTATTTTTACATGCTTTATTAGTTACCTGTTATTTAAAAAGACACTTTAGTGACACGCAGTGCACTTCACTTATTTTGTATGCAAGTGAAATTACCGTATTGAACAAAGTGTTAAATAAATCAGTTTGTTCAGTGCTGTTGGTTTAAGTGTCAAAACCAGAAATAAAACAATAAATACATATCGTTTATCGGGCACATAAACACGCAAATCTGTTATAAAATAATCCATACCGGCCGATCACTATTTAAAACTATTCTTTGATTAGTCAGATTCACTTAAATTAATCAACATTTGAGAGTTTATTTACGAAAATCTAAAGCATTTATTTAAAGTAGTGGACATGTTAGATTTGACAGATCTTGTCAGTTTATGATTAAATATTATAAAGCATGTTCTGATAAGACCATATATATATAGTATGTTGTGTACTGCAGTCTATATAAATAGATTACAGTATGTGTAACTTATTATAGTGCAGTAGAGCATGATCTGACGCAACACTGCAGACAATATGCAGCGTCATCTTCTTCATCATCAAACTCACTGATCGCCATCTGAGCGACGCCCTCGCCCGCCATGTTCTGCTCTATAGGCCTCAGATGAGTTGAGTCCGGCTCGGTTCGGGAGTGTTTTCGGGTAAAGGCTCCGGTAATCGGTTCGTCCGTCTGTCACCGCACGCTGGGCAAACGAGCTGATGGCTGCTGGAGACTCGTGCGCATGCGCGAACCCTTCAACTCTGTCGTTTCGGCTGGGGATTTGCCGTCTATGGGATTGGCCCATTCGCAAGATGAAGATTTTTCCGGCAAGCTGATTGGTTGGTTTTGAGGTTGGGGGCGGGAGTTTAAATAAAAGCGTTTAGCGTTGGTTCAGGCCTACAGTCTATGGTTCAGTCACTAAAATCAAAACAAATAAAGCAATTAAAAAAGTGCAGTAATGTATTTATTTATTATTTACGTATTTAATCTAATGTCTATTGGTTTATTTATTTTAATCTTATTTCATTACAGTTTTTCTAACGGGTTTCAATCAGGTTTCAATACGTGACATATGAATGAGTCCTAATCAAATCAGAGACACTGAGCAAGTAGTTTATTAAGATTATATATTATATTTATTACACTTTTACAAACAATATATAAATAGTTTGGTAAACATTTAGGTTAAGGTTTCATCAAAGTTTGTGACTGTACAAAAAAACCTTCAAAAACATAATTACATAATTTATCTACATCTCTTCATCACAACAGTGAACTTTCACATTACTGTGGACATCATCCGATCTCGACCATTTCCAACTCCTCGGTCCATTCTTTATTCCGGACCCATTTCCGGCACAGCTGCGATTCAGCAACAATAAAGAGAGAGAGAGACATGTATTCATTAGCCAAGAATAATGAATAGACTTAATTTACAGCACTATTGTTCAACCCAGCTCACAGGAAACGTTCTGGACAAACATTATTAATATAATATTAGTTGAAAGTTATCTGCTGGTCTTTGAAGGGTTAGTTTACCTAAAAATGAAAATGATGTCATTAATGACTCTCCCTCATGTCGCTCCAAGCCCGTCAGACCTCCGTTCATCTTCGGAACACAGTTTAAGATATTTTAGATTTAGTCCGAGAGCTTTCTGTCCCTCCATTGTAAATGTGTGTACGGTATACTGTCCTTGTCCAGAAAGGAAATAAAGACATCATCAAAGTAGTCCATGTGACATCAGTGGGTTAGTTAGAGTGTGTTGAAGCATCGAAAATACATTTTGGTCCAAAAATAACAAAAACTAGGCCTTTATTCAGCATTGTATTGTGTTCCGGTTCTGTTGTGGATCCGCGTTCAGTGCCGCTGCTGACGTGTGTGTGTGTGTGTGTGTGTGTGTGTATTCTGGTTCTGTTGTGGATCCGCGTTCAGTGCCGCTGCTGACGTAAGACGCTGCTGACGTGTGTCTGGTGTGTGTGTGTGTGTGTGTGTGTATTCTGGTTCTGTTGTGGATCCGCGTTCAGTGCCGCTGCTGACGTAAGACGCTGCTGACGTGTGTCTGGTGTGTGTGTGTGTGTGTGTGTGTGTGTATTCTGGTTCTGTTGTGGATCCGCGTTCAGTGCCGCTGCTGACGTAAGACGCTCCTGACGTGTGTCTGGTGTGTGTGTGTGTGTGTGTATTCTGGTTCTGTTGTGGATCCGCGTTCAGTGCCGCTGCTGACGTGTGTCTGGTGTGTGTGTGTGTGTGTGTGTGTATTCTGGTTCTGTTGTGGATCCGCGTTCAGTGCCGCTCCTGACGTGTGTCTGGTGTGTGTGTGTGTGTGTGTGTGTATTCTGGTTCTGTTGTGGATCCGCGTTCAGTGCCGCCGCTGACGTAAGACGCTGCTGACGTGTGTCTGGTGTGTGTATGTGTGTGTGTGTGTGTGTGTGTGTGTGTGTGTGTATTCTGGTTCTGTTGTGGATCCGCGTTCAGTGCCGCTGCTGACGTGTGTCTGGTGTGTGTGTGTGTGTGTGTGTGTGTGTGTGTATTCTGGTTCTGTTGTGGATCCGCGTTCAGTGCCGCCGCTGACGTAAGACGCTGCTGACGTGTGTCTGGTGTGTGTGTGTGTGTGTGTGTGTGTATTCTGGTTCTGTTGTGGATCCGCGTTCAGTGCCGCTGCTGACGTAAGACGCTGCTGACGTGTGTCTGGTGTGTGTGTGTGTGTGTGTGTGTGTATTCTGGTTCTGTTGTGGATCCGCGTTCAGTGCCGCTGCTGACGTAAGACGCTGCTGACGTGTGTCTGGTGTGTGTGTGTGTGTGTGTGTATTCTGGTTCTGTTGTGGATCCGCGTTCAGTGCCGCTGCTGACGTGTGTCTGGTGTGTGTGTGTGTGTGTGTATTCTGGTTCTGTTGTGGATCCGCGTTCAGTGCCGCTCCTGACGTGTGTCTGGTGTGTGTGTGTGTGTGTGTATTCTGGTTCTGTTGTGGATCCGCGTTCAGTGCCGCCGCTGACGTAAGACGCTGCTGACGTGTGTCTGGTGTGTGTGTGTGTGTGTGTGTGTATTCTGGTTCTGTTGTGGATCCGCGTTCAGTGACGCCGCTGACGTAAGACGCTCCTGACGTGTGTCTGGTGTGTGTGTGTGTGTGTGTGTGTGTGTATTCTGGTTCTGTTGTGGATCCGCGTTCAGTGCCGCTGCTGACGTAAGACGCTCCTGACGTGTGTCTGGTGTGTGTGTGTGTGTGTGTGTGTATTCTGGTTCTGTTGTGGATCCGCGTTCAGTGCCGCTGCTGACGTAAGACGCTCCTGACGTGTGTCTGGATCCACAACAGAACCAGAATACACACACACACACACACACACACACACCAGACACACGTCAGCAGCGTCTTACGTCAGCAGCGGCACTGAACGCGGATCCACAACAGAACCAGAATACACACACACACACACACACACACCAGACACACGTCAGCAGCGTCTTACGTCAGCAGCGGCACTGAACGCGGATCCACAACAGAACCAGAATACACACACACACACACACACACACACACACACACGTCAGCAGCGGCACTGAACGCGGATCCACAACAGAACCGGAACACAATACAATGCTGAATAAAGTCCTAGTTTTGGTTATTTTTGGACCAAAATGTATTTTCGATGCTTCAACACACTCTAACTAACCCACTGATGTCACATGGACTACTTTGATGATGTCTTTATTTCCTTTCTGGACAAGGACAGTATACCGTACACACATTTACAATGGAGGGACAGAAAGCTCTCGGACTAAATCTAAAATATCTTAAACTGTGTTCTGAAGATGAACGGAGGTCTGACGGGCTTGGAGCGACATGAGGGAGAGTCATTAATGACATCGTTTTCATTTCTGGGTGAACTAACCCTTTAATAATGTTTTTGCACAAAAGTAAGTCTTACAGGATCCCAGCCACGCAGGTGAAAGATTCCATACAGGAGCGCAACACAGAACACAGTCGTTTCCAGGGAAATAACGCTTTTAAGAAGCAATTGGAAATTCTCAGGCAGCGTCTCCAAGAGCTGAAACAACACCAACAATTCATTCAATAAGTCATATTTCACTATTCAACAACAGAACGTTCCAGTGCTTTACATTTTCCGCTTGTGCAAAAACTAACATAATACTAGTGTGTTACAATTTTTACAACATTTTTGAAAGAACATTATTCTGCTCACCAAGGCTTGATTTATTTGATTAAAAAAATATAGTAAACTTGTGAAATATTATTATGCAAAGAGATGGGCGATCATTCAAAAATCATTCTAATATGATGATTTGCTGCTCAAGAAACATTTAAGATCATCAATGATGCTGAAAACAGCTTCATATTTTTGTGGAAAATGTGATACACTTTATTTTTCAGGATTCTTAGAGGAGTAGAAAGTTTAAAAGAACAGCATTTATTTTAAATATGATCTTTTTTTAACTTTATTATTTTTTCGTCTTTATTAATTATTAATTTCTTTAAAAAAAATTAAAAAAATCTTACTGACCCCAAACTTGCAGAGTATTATGTCAAATAAATGCAGCTTTGGTGAGCAGTAGAGCCTTAAAAAAATCATACTAATACTTTTGAATGCTATTGTGTGTCAATATTTTCTGTGGGGGTATTTCTATAAAATGTTTCGTATAGTTTTTTTACTCACTATAGTATTGCACTGTTAGATGTATTATTTATTTATGTAGGCAAAATGCAATTGTTTATAGTTTATTTTTGTAACTATAATTTGTATTATTCATTTTTAAGCAATTTGTAGTGTAGTGAACACAATTTTATGATATATTATTTGTATTATTTTATTTATTTAGATTAATCTTAATTTTTTTTAACACTGACTATTTGACTCTAAACTTTACACAGACACCATTGACACACAGTAGTTCACTGTGAAATGATCTGAGCTTCTCAGTTATAATCACTGATCTTATACATCCATAGATCAGTGGTTATGATCATACCTGCTCTTGTCGTCCCTTGAAAGGCTCTAAGAAAGGATACAACTTTGTTAGCTCCTTATTTTTCTTAGTTAACGAGTCCACACCAAATCTGCTCTCCTGTGATCTCTTCTCTATAAAACAAACAAACAAACATGCAAATAAACAGGAGCATCACAGAATATTTCACATTTTTGAAAGTAGAGAAAATTTTTTTCATAACGACAGATCAACAGTTGAGCTCTAAATCCATAACTGTTATATGTAAGGAAACACATTTAACGTTAACATGTTTTTTTTTTGTGGCTAGTCAACTTTCTGATTGAGAAACGGTTTATTGACCGCAATGGTTGGAATCTAGCAACCAAATTAACAGTTTATTCCTAATGAGAATAACATAAAAATTCTTGTAATATATATATATATTTAGAGTAAAACACACCGTACTCAGCGGTCGTCTGGTTCAGCGCAACTAACGAAACTAGGAATAAAACCATCAAAGTTTTGATCCTGCTCATGTTTAGGTCAAGTTGAATTGACCCGTCACCATAGAAACACAACCGTGATGAAGAAAAATAACAAAAATGTTTACTCTTATTTTGTATAAAAACCATTCACATAGATACATAGAAGCTGAGTGACCAATTAATTTTATAATAAATGTAAATAAAAAAAAGAACATAAATAGTAGTTATTTGTACCGCACGACAGTTGCTGAGGATTTGCGACACCTCATGAACGGTTTCAGTGATGACGCTCACCGGGCACCGCCGCCTGTGATTGGTCAGCCCGCCGTC